CAATACATGCTAGCTACGGCCCTGGAATACTTGGACTCAGATTAAGATCCATGGCGATGGCATCTTGAGCTGACACCCAAGTGTGTTGAGTAGCGTCACCCATCCAAGGAACAGAAGGAATCACCACATCTTGCATGCGGGAAAACAAACAATATTACCAGCCGAAATAGTAAAACAAGGATAATAAAGCATACTAATTCCGGAAGTCCTTACCAGCCCGTAATAAGGGGAATTTAGTATTGCCAAAAAATATTTTAATATGAAAGAGTATATATATTTCAGTCTTGAGAAAAATCTTAATATGTTGGGGGTGGGGGGATTAACTCACTAACCTGAAAGGCAATTTTAACAAGAGCGGGCTCAGACAATGTTTATAGGTACCGAAACCCTATACATATAAACATGATATCACAGAATGAAACTAGAACACGCTTGTTACTCTAAATATTCCTCTCGAATCAAACACGTGTATGAGCGTGAAACTAACAAAGAGGAAAGCAAAATCAACCTCAGCTTTAGGACGAGGAGTACGAGTCTGTTATCAACTCTCATCCTTGTTTGACTAGGGTATACTTTTCACTCAAAAAATGTAATTAAATATTGCCATATACATGGTTAAAAACTGACTGTAATTTTCATTACACATACCAAACTACACAGTATAATACTGCATTTTTTTAAGGATTTTTAATCTAATTTAGATGTTTATAATATGATCAAATTCAAGTTGTTATCTTATGGATATGCATGTGTTCAACATTCTTGCTTTGTTCACACAAGAACAGCAGTGTGCACGCATCTCGCTTGAGACATTTCTGGAAGTTCTTGCGAAGTATAACTTTCAAAGTTGAAAGCTTCAACTGACTTTAAGACACGTCGCTGTTCATCCATCCCTCCCAGTACTACAATGTTGTTTCCAATAACAACTGCAGTACATCCCCATCTCTTACATCTCATTGGCGGCAACACGTGACTCTGTTCAGTCTTGACATTGTAAATGATAACTGTATCTAATGCTTGGCCATGTATGTCAACGCCACCTAAAACAACGATCTTGTCTCCCAATCTCACAGTTGTCATGTCATTCACTTCATACGGCAGTGGTGCCAACTTTTTACATTCATTCTTCTTTATATCATACAGTATGACACTGCTGAGGTTGTCTTGGTAACTGGCAGTTGTCCTTCCACCAACGATCAACAAGTTATCATCAAATAATTGTGTGCTGTGATCCCGTCTTGGTTCAGGCATTCTTGATAAGATCTTCACAGCATACGAAGGCACTAGTCAAACTTCATGGATACAGTATTACAGTCAGATACAGCATTTCCATCAAAACCACCTATGACAATCAACTGATCATTATACAGCACACTGCTGTGGTTTGCAAATTTAGCAGGTAGTTTAACGGGACACTCACTCCAGCGCCTTGAGAGATCAAGGTTTGGGTTGATATTCAGTCTAATCATATCATTCACATAGCCAGAACAGTGACCTCCAGCAATTGTAACATGATTGTTGTAAACAAATGAAGTCGCTGAAGAACACGTCTTTGGTATGGATTGTAATGGCGACCATTGTCTTTGACGCCAGTTAAACATCTCTACAGAGTCAGTTCCATAACCTCCAGCAACAATGATATCTTCCTTACCAGCACTTGCTGTACTTTTCTTGAGTTTTCTTCTATGTCGTTCTCCATCTTGACAAGAACATCCTTCATTTCATCAAAACGTTCAATCAAAGTTGTTGTCAATCCTCTCACTTCATGATTTACTGCTTCGAGTTTTCTTCCATATCTGCCGCATTTCTCTCCATATTCTTCTCGAGTTTCGCCATTCTTTTCTTAATTTCTCCGCACGAATGGCACTTCAACTTGCGAAATTCGCATAGTTCACTTTGATGGTGAATAAGATCACGGTGGTTTAAAGTTACAGCACAGCCCTTGGTTTGTACAAATGCACAAATGTTTCTGTAAATCCACATTTAGCCTCATGGTTGTCAAGATGTTGCACTTGTAGAATCTCTTGACAACCTCTCTTGTTGTAAACGCAATGAATCTTCAATTCATTTAAATAATCTTTCACCATTCTGTTCGGTTCAGTTAGAGAGTCTATGGTCAATTCATCCGCACACGTAGGGGATCTTTGTGAATTCTCGAGGTGTTTCGTGATACAAGAACGGCAAAAACAATCTTGGTTTCTCGGACACAGAACTGGGTCGTTAAGGACATTGAAACAAATCAAACAGAGGAAATTTCGATTGACAGTTGTCGCAAACCTTTGCTCATCATAGCCATGTATGTACGACGCCATATATTTCACATTTTCACGCGATTCTTGTCTCGTAATCACAAAGCAAGTTCTGTGTTGATGTTAGTCGCTTTGTAGTATTACCTCGCTATATAGACTGAATATAGATACAGTGTTCGTTCTTCGGGAGAATCTGTGTTATTCGAAATATTTAACAAAATGATCTAGAGCAGCAGACAATATCGCTTCCGCATAAAGTGTTTAAAACGTATTTACGAGACAGGAATTTGCTGGCATGAAATAGAATATTTAATATTTTGTGACCTAAGGTCATTACCTCATACTGATACTGGCTTGCGATTGGTAACAATATGTAAACAAGAATTTCGTGTTGCAAATTATGGAAGTCGGTTACCAGAAAATGATCTTTTATACAAGAAAATCAATCTTGATAATGTATATAGATAGATTGCGCAAATGTTAGTAGATTGATGTGTATTAAAGTCTGTATTACAATTTGTTTCATTTATTCACAAAATTATGTCTTTAGAAGCAATAGACCAATATCGCTTCCGCGCAAATTCCAAACGTCTTTTGCAGACTGGTATTTGGCGTTTATACAAATTAGAATATTTAATGTGCCGCGATGGGTGGTCATCACATATTACGGACTGTCTTGAAGTTGGGTACCTTATCTAAACACGAAATTTTTAATTAAAAATATCGAAATGATAAGAAGAAAGAATCAATCTTAATAATGTCGCAAATTGATCATACTGTTATGAACAATGTGGATAAAATCTGCTTTACAATTTGGCCGAAATTTTTCACAAAATTATGTCTTCAGAGCAACAGCTATGCAATGAATGCTTCGATTAAAGTATACAGTTGCTTAATTAACTAAATAAGATAGAATATTTAATGTAGTGTGATTGGTGACGCGTCATAAGCTCATATTGCAATTAGCTACATTATGTTGACAAGAATGGGAAGATTGTTTTGTAATAAAGAACAGATCATTGTATGAAATATATTCAAATTGTTACATGTATTGCAGCTTACACTGAAAATCATTTCAAATATAAACACAGCTTCATATCATTACTCGCTGGAGCACCATGCGCCCCAGACGAGTATAGGTTTATGCTTGCATTTGTCACCGATCACGGATAGTGGATCTCCAATTGTCGATAGCCACAAAATAGAATATTAATGAGTTGCCTAGTTTTCCCCCAATTATCCATAAGGCTCCTGCCAATTTTACCCAAATTATCCATAAATTATCCTGCATTTTGAGGAAAATTCGGGAAAATTGAACAATTTTACAAGGAATTTCGACATGGAAACAGCAACCTTCGCAAATCGCAAGTTTAATACGTTTGGCTGCGCTGCTTTATATTTTGAGAAGAAAGCGACACCGTTCGATTCAGCGTAAGAAATTGTACTTACGGATGTCAAGTGTATTACTAAACACCAGTATTCTAGGGATTTATGGCCTTTGAAAATCAAGCGAAATTTTATTGTTGACAAATCGCTCGAAGTACGTATATTTGTTGACAAATCACTCGCACTACGTTTGTCCTTGTAATGCCTAATGGCGCAATAAGGATAAAAATACCACCGTTCGATTCAGCGTAAGAAATAATTGTACTTACGGATTTCAAATGTATTACTAATATAAGCACAAATATTCTAGCGATTTATGGCCTTTGAAATTCAAGCGAAATCGTATTGTTGACAAATCGCTTGCAGTACGTATTGTTGACTCGCAGGCTAATTGTTGACAAATCACTCGCAATACGTTTCGTAGTGTATTTGTAATGCCTAATGACGCAATAAGGATAAAAATACCACCGTTCGATCGATTCAATACTAATTACGGATGTCAAAGGTACAGTATTACTAAACAACAGTATTCTAGCGATTTATGGCCTTTGGAAGCCAAGCGAAATTGTTTGTTGCAAATCATTCAAAATTATTAAACTTAATATAAAAAATGCAGTATGTTTGATCCTTGATAACTTTGGTATCATTGGTTTTCTCTTTTTCGGCCATATACCAGTGGATTGCGCCGCTCGTGCCATTTTTGGCACCGCATTATATTCTGCCTTTGAGTTTGTCCGTTTGTTTGTCCGTCCGTTTGTTTGTCCGTTTGTTAGTGTGTTCGCATCAATACGTTTCCTTAATGGCCTAGTAAAAATTCCTTGCACGTGCTCGAAATGTATTCATTTTTGCAGGAAAATTAATTTATCTTGTGCTCTCACGATCGACAGTTTGCTAGGCTTTATCTCCAGTTGTATCACCAAACATGGACAACAATACCACTGTTCGAATCAGCGTGAAAATCTGTATTTATAGATGAAAATTGATTTCAAAATTGATTTCTATTCTAGCGATGTATGGCATACCTAATTTTAAGAATTTTTTATCACTGCACAGTTTTGTGCAAAGTTTAGCCGAGCAGAAGCACGCCCTGAAAATTTCTGAACACACCCTTATAATAATGTGTAACAACAAAGCAGGCTACTATTCATATTCAAAAATGCCAAAACGAACATACACTGCACAGCACTCAGGGAAATTTGGGGGCCCAGGACAAACTTTGACTTGGGGGCTCTCGTGATTCCATGTTCTAACACTATGATTCCCTGGTCCGGGGGCATCACCCGGAAAAATTTTGAATCTGAGGTCCCAGAAATGGCCAAATCCTCCATTCTGGAAGTCTAGTTGACAGTCAGTTATATCTATGTACATTTCACTGCAATTCTTTATTTGGGCCCCCCTTTAACTGGGGTCCCAGGGCAAATTGCACCCCTTTAACATGACTGAAGAAAATAAATATTTTCGTCTTGGCAAATGAAAGGCGGCTTACGGGCTTAGGCATGCACCCACAGACAATTTTGTAATCTAGGCACTATAAAAGAGTATCTCCTGCAATGTGCGGGGACATTCTATAGAATTCTGAAAATTATACAGTAATTACAAAATCTTATAACTATCATTCACTCCTTCTTCCAAACTCATAAAGAGATCTTTGGTGAGAGACTTTGTTCATCTGATGAACCATAAGTATGTTATTAATGCGGACGTTCGATAATTTGGCAGTCATCATTTCAATTTCAATTAAGCCATTCTCATTCAAAATGTTTCGCCGGATTAGTTCAGTTTTTCTGCTCATTGTCTCATTTTCTTGTGTTAATTAACAACTTATCAAAGCAAATTTTATCACTGCACATTTTACATTTTATCACTGCACATTTTACTTTTATCACTGCACAAATTGGTTATCACTGCACACTAAAATTAGGTATGATGTATGGCCTTTTAAAGACGAGCCGCTCAAAAAAATCCTGCACGTTTTCCGAATTCCTTTTTCGAGGAAAGTTTTCTTTTCTATTTTAACTCGGACTCTCACGATTGACTTTTTGCTGCGCCTTATTTATGGTCTTGTGCGCCCAATAAGGACACAAATACCACCGTTCGATTCAGCGTAAGAAATTGTACTTATGGATGGCAAATGTATTACTAAACAACTGAATTCCAGCTAGCGCTTTATGGTCTTTGAAAGTCAAGCGAGATTGCATTGTTGACAAATCACTCAAAATTATTAAACTAATTTAAAATGCAGTACGTTCGATTCTTGATAACTTTCGTATCGTTAGTTTTCTCGTTTTCTGCCGTATACCAGTGGATTCGTCTCACTTCTTTCTTCATTTTGATAGTATTTTGAGCCCAAGACTATTTTATTTTGAAGATTTTAAAGTGCAGTTTTAGTAAGCGAAATTGTATTGTCGACAAATCGCTCAAGATTATTAAACTAATTAAAAATGCAGTACGTTTGATCCTTGATAACTTTGGTAACGTTGGTTTTCTCTTTTCGGCCGCATACCAGTATATTCATCTTACATTTCTCTTCATATTTATAGTATTTTGAGCCGAAAATATTTTGTTTTGAAGGTTTTAATTAAAGCGCAGTTTTTATCCTAATGTATGGACCAACTGGCGGGCGACAGGAGAATGTAGCTTACTTTATATAACTTTACTTGTAGGCGGAAATGCCGAAAGTTTATTTGTAGGCGAGCGCCGCATTTCAGTACTGTGTCTGGTTTGTCTCACTTTTGGATATGTATAATGTGTTACAGCAGGCTGTGGTATTGAAGCAGGCTGTGGCTAGGTGTGCGGGTTTTAATTTAAAATGCTGCGAATTTTGTATTTGAAATATAATGATATGAAGCTGTGTTTATATTTGAAATGATTTTCAGTGTAAGCTACAATACATGTAACAATTTGAATATATTTCATACAATGATCTGTTCTTCATTACAAAACAATTTCCCCATTCTTGTCTACATAATGTAGCTAATATAATTGCAATATGAGCTTATGACGCGTCACCAATCACATATATATTATACAGTATACATAATGTATACATAATGTATACATAATGTATATATATATATATATATATATATATGTATATATATATATATATATATATATATATATATATATATATATATATATATATATATATATATATATATATATATATATATATTATATTATATATTATACTATATAGTATATATATATTGCAGATTATAATAGATGAGAATCAGCAGTATCATGTCAGTGAACCGGGCGAGAAATCTAGAATACCCCGATCTATACAGGCAATGGTTCTGGGAACAAAGCATGCTTGATATTTTATTTATAGTTTGTCTAGTAAAGTATTGATACACACACATGCGATTTATTTGTCAAGATTAACTACAGACGCTTTATAAGGTCTCCTGATTTTTCACGATTATAGACAGAGGAATTTAACCAATGCAGGACAATATTGATGGCAGGATTCAATCATAGACTTAATTTAGAAAATATTCATCCCAATGTCTGCAGCTATCAATATTTTGTAATTGCACATAAAATGAATAATTAAACTCTAATTAATTAATAAATACATGGCTCATGGCGCGACAAGACGAACTAGACCATTCATTCTTCCAAATAATAGACTATTTTTCTGGATTTGGACTGTTAAAACAAATTTGAAACGTTAGTTACTAGAAACCTTGAGAAAATTTCCTAATATATTTTGAGGAATTTAGTAAACATTTTGAGTCACTGTGGGTGTGTTCTTTTAAATAAGTTTTTCATCCAAACACTCACAATTTTTTGCAGTGAATTTAAAGGTATCCTATGCTACTAACTCTTGGAATCGTCTTTATTTTATTAATTTCCTTGACCTCTTGCTAAACGACAGTTTGCGCGCATGAAAATGTTCTCAAATGAGAACAAGGATTGCATGAGAGTTGATAAGAGTTGACTGGATATTACTAATCAAATGAGCGAACACTCTTGTCAACTCTCATTGATTCTGATCAAAATTTATACCGGCTTAAAGTTGATGAGAGTTGATGAGAGTCATACCGGGTTTTACATTTTCAGCCTCGCTCTCCCCTCTAGAAATAAAACACCGCCCCCAGCTTTCAGAACCTGTCTTTAGTCGGAAACCAAAACTAATCGAGGACAATAGAAAATGGGTATGGCAGGTAGAGAAAATGGAAAATCGGCGTAGTAGGTAGGAATTTCAACGAAAGACCTCCAATTCGGTTTTTATCCTATATTTAATTATTGTTTGAGTCGGTGTTCTTTCACGTACGGAGGTGATTATTTTTAATAATCACCGTGAATATTAATCAGCTGAAACGATGAAGGAAATTAAAACTCAGAAAATCATCGTTCAAAGCAGACGAAATGGACAAAACTTTGTTGGAAAACCTCGTCTATCACGAATTAAGTTTGGATAACACAAAGGTATTACTCCAAAACTCTTTGTGCTGTTAATATTACGACCTGGTGACTTTTAAAGATCAAAAGCACTCTATCACGGCTGCTGAATTGCAAGAATTAAGGCTAGCTCCGAAATTCTTCAATGTGATGGAAAAATACCTTGCGGGAACGTCTATAAAAAAGCTGCCAAAACTAAAAAAATATTAAACTTTCAGCGAAGAACGGAACTCATTAAATTAACTCGATACAAAGTATCAACTTAGAAATCCTAATTCATTAACTAATATACATTTGCCACCACCATAGGGTTATAGTAACAATGTACAATCAAATTGCATGAAGATTATTGTCCAGAAATACAAGATAAAAGGATTTCATTCATTGTATGTCAATTAGAGGCTGTTTTTCTTTCAACGCAACTTCCAAGTCAGAACTAACTTTTCTTTTCCAAACTTGAATCACTGTATAATCTCTTTGAGTTCCATTTTGGTTTTGATTTTGGGATTAAGTCTTGATCTGTGGTTGTGTCTTCCTCAATGAAAAATTCTTGAAGCTTAGACAGACGATTAAGGTCAATCTATTTAAATGAAGAAATTTGGCTCTTGAACTTTGAACGCTCATTATACTGGATATGTTAGGCATAGAATATGTCTGTCCTAATATTGCGACGCATAAACGATTAACGGATGCCAGCCAAAACTGACCCAAAAAACAGGCTTTTCTAACTGCATTACAAATAAAAGGATATGAGGCGTTTAGTGCGGGCGGGAGAAGAGAGGGCGTCGTTAAATAAGCGCCTGCCCAAATGGCTATGGCTATAATATGTTTTTGACCGGAAAAACTTCGTATTTAATTCTCATTGGTCAATCTTCTTTGATGAAAGTAATTAAGTAACTGAAATGTCAACTATAATTTTGCCTGCGTATATATTCTCATAACAAGAAATACATGCATGCAACGACCCCACCCACGCCTACATTTTCCAAATATTGTTTCAACACGAAGTATTCGTAATTATGCCAACACTGAACGCGGACTCGCGTTGTACATCATGTTTATCATGGCAACACGATAATTGTTTTCTAAACTTTTTGTACAAACCTGGAAAAAGTAGATGAAACTTGAACACTTTCAAATACAGAACTATCAATTAATAAAATACATAAAGTAGGTATATTAGTTTGCTTTCTTTTGGCTTTATTTTAATGTTACTAAAATAAAGCAAATAAAATCAAAACGAAACTTTATGTAAAACGTTTTTAAATGTGAATTGAAATTAACTGCTTTTTCCCCATATAAATAAACTCTTCAACCCGAGCTTCGACTTATTACTCGCACTTTGAAATAAAATAATTTAATTCGCACAGGACGCTTATGAACATAATTTGCTTTCCTTTTTATCAAAAACTTCTACAAAAGTTAATTTAAATATGAAACTTTCGGATACAATGCATAGCCAGCCACAGGAAAGACTTGAACAACAAGAACAAAGTATATATTTATTTAATATTAGTACAAAGTCACACATAAACAATTGAAACAAACTTGCCCTATACTTTCGGATTTCTCATACTAAATCAATTCTTCCAATGTTTACGTTTAAAATATAAAAAAAGTTTTAAAATTTGTTATGTGAAACGATTTTCCCGGCTTTCTTACATGTACTTTTTATATTTTTGCCTTCTTCACTCCTGGCAAACAGCCATATTTTGAGATCAGTGACCCACGCCCGCGATCATTGATGAACTTTAGACTTCGCTAATGCTTTCCTCTCCCTGGGTGTAAATAGCCGGGCGGAATTAGTACTCTCGCCCCAGGTTTACGCACGGGACGACGCGCCGCGCCGTTGGCTTGGGAAAAATATGGCTATTAATGCTTTGAAGGAAACAGTTTCTGATATTTTAAACTAGTTTTTCAGATTTCGAAATTCAGTTGAAACCAGAACAGAGAAGTGTATTATTAATTTGCTACGATCTACGTGGTGAAGACGTTATCGCGATTCTTC